GTGATATTGGTGTAGTCTAGAAAGTAATGTAGTTGAGTTAATTAGGCCGGATGCGACGCCTTGGAGGTACCTTGTAGTCGTGGATAGTTAACCAACTTTCCTTTTGTGATGCCTTGGAGGTGCCTTGGGTCGGATTATACTAACGGTTTGGTTGTTGAAACGGAATTGTTTCGAAAACGGGGAGTGACATTTGCATAACATTGCACTTCATGACATTGTGGGAAATTTGTGATTAGTTGACATTTGCTACATACTTGTTATTGTGATTGAGAATATGTATTTCCCATGGTATGACCCCGCTCCTTTTTGCCTATTCTTTGTGTGAAATTCACGGGGATATAAGAAGTGTATCTTAGACGCTTCCTACTGAGCTTATTGTCACGGGCCTAGAGATTTGGCGCAGCGGCACGGCCCGTACGGCACCAAGGCGTTGCTTCAGCTCGCGCAAGCGCCCTGGTCAGCTACAACGACCTGCCCTCCCAAGGATACATGCTGACTGGTTTCGGCCTGCCATGGCCTCGTCAAGGGAACGGCTCCAGCTCCCGACCAGTTTGTGCAGGGATGGCCAACTCCCTTCTTCATAGTCAAGTCCACGACCAGCGACAAGCACCTCGAACTGAACCGAGTCGACCTGCCTGAACTCTGAAGAGGTACCATCCTGTGCTCCTGCACGCCCCTTCCCTGGAACCATTCCCAGTCAAACTCTGCTATTTGCCAACCAGCATGCGTGTCTTCCATCCTCCAAGCGTCTTAGGAATCACTTCGTGACATTCTCCCCCACCCAAATCCTGCGACGTCCTTGTCGCAGTGCGGCGCTTCACTACTGCGTCCACTCCCTTCCAAAGTCTGCCTCTATGCGGTATGCTCGCCTTCCCACCATCGCTTCCTTGTGCAGCTCCCTGCACTGCACTCGCCCAATGATAGGCCTCGGACCAAGGGGACGTCCACTCCTCAAGGACGTGACTCTTCTCCGTCATGCCGCCTCCGCGACATCCCGAGCAAGCAATGGCCTTCTGCCGACTTGATGCTCGCCCTTCACCATGGTTTGCATCACCCAAGGACTAAGCACGAACTTTGGTGCGCGCGGCCCTCCTGCCCTTCAATGCGCAACTTCAACGGACGCCTCTTCCTGGGGAGATGGAGGCTCTCCCCCCCCAACTGCATTGATTCCTCCACATCGACGCAACTTCAATGCACCGTCTTCATTCTCTGACCCCTCCCGGACCGACAAGGGGGCACCCCACCGTGCTTTACCCCAAGTCCTGCTCTGATACCATTTGTCACGGGCCTAGAGATTTGGCGCAACGGCACGGCCCGTGCGGCACCAAGGCGTTGCTTCAGCTCGCGCAAGCGCCCTGGTCAGCCACAACGACCTGCCCTCCCAAAGATACATGCTGACTGGTTTCGGCCTACCATGGCCTCGTCAGGGGAACGGCTCCAGCTCCCGACCAGTTTGTGCAGGGATGGCCAACTCCCTTCTTCATAGTCAAGTCCACGACCAGCGACAAGCACCTCGAACTGAACCGAGTCGACCTGCCTGAACTCTGAAGAGGTACCATCCTGTGCTCCTGCACGCCCCTTCCCTGGAACCATTCCCAGTCAAACTCTGCTCTTTGCCAACCAGCATGCGTGTCTTCCATCCTCCAAGCGTCTTAGGAATCACTTCGTGACATTATGCTCACCCCATTTTTTTTAACATTTTTCAGGACACGGATAAGAGGTGACGGACGACGATCCACCACAAATTTAGATGAGATTGGCAACCTATTTTATTTTGCTATCTTTTGTATTAGAATTCTAATATTTTGTAAATGTAATCTTAACTATTTTGTGAAACTTTAGTTTAATTAGTATGATGTTGTAAGTTATGGACTTTTAAATTTTAGCTACAAATTATGGACTGTAACTTGATGTAACTAAGGTGTGTTCCTTATTTAGATAAGATGGAGGAACGGAATTTTTTTTTATGTATGTAAACATTTGGGAATGTGATATAATATCTGTATTGTGCGTTGGGACATGATAGATTAGTTTTAAGGCCCAGTGAGGCCATTGCATTTTGTGTATTTCAACAGGTCGTAGAGGGACTTTTTCTGCGAAGGTCATGTCGAAATTTTATTTGTTTTATTATTATTATTTTGGTATATTTTTGGGTCGTTATAGGTAGGATCTCATTCTTATAGTCGTTCTCCCTCAGTTTATTTGCGGGATCCGAGGAGATCCGCTTGTGCGAGATCAGAGGAGATTCGTTTGTTGCCAGATTTGTCGGAGATATGATTTACCCCTTTGACTTTCTCAAATTGTGCTAAGGTTATCCTTACCTTGTGGAACCATGTCATCTTTCATTATCCTTGATAATGAAATATTATCATTCTTATCCAATGGAAATATCATCGTTTGAAAGTCGAAGAGGTCTGGCGGCTGGTCAACACTTAGTTGCCTTTATCGTTAGGTCAAGATAGGTTAGGTTTATTTTTCCCTATCACAAATCATTTTAGCCTCCCTAATCGCCTCCATCTCTATTCTCTCTGAATTTGCCCTCTCTCTCTCTCTGCAATTGCAAACTACAAAATCTACAAGAATCAGAAGTTCAAAACCCATATATTTCAGTTTTATCTATCTGTCTGCAAGAATCAAAAGTTCAAAACCCATATTGGCATATCATTTCAGATTGTTCAAAAAATCAAAACCCAGATCTTTCAGTTTCCATCGTCCGCTGTTCCAGTTCGGGTTCGCCGTTCGCAAGCTTCAGTCGATGTCTCTCAACTCTCAAGCTTGCCCTCCTCTCTCTCTACTAACTTGTATGTATGGGGACAGCGGCAGAGGGAGAAAGAGAAAGAAGAGAGAGGAAAGAGAAAGGAGAAAAAAAAAATGAATTTTTTTATTTATTATTATTTTGGGTTTTGGGTTGGGCTGGTTTAGCTCGCCCAAGTTGCAACCCTACTCATATATAGCCGTTTTAGGCACTGTTTGGCTGACCCAAATAGTGCCTTAACGGCTATATTGACACAAAAACCTATTTTTTAATTTTTTTTAATAAAATAATTATATTTTAAATTTTAAAAATATTAAAATATTAATATTTTTGAAGAACGAAAATGCACTATTGAAGTACATGCGATAGCTAAAATTTGGAGATTCTAAAATGCTGACGTGACTATGAGAAATGCTTATGTGGCTATTGAAAAATGCTGATGTGGCAAATTTGGATAGCCTAATTTTAGAGAGTCTGTTGGAGATGCTCTTATTAAAGTTGCTCTTAGAGAATAGTCATTATCATGGTGGCTGCGGTTTATAAATATGAGCAACTCCTCGACAAATTAATAGACATTTATAGGGAGTGAGTGTTATTATAATTGTTTGTTTATAAATACCAGTAACTCCTAATTCAATATATATGTATGTAGGGGATGTAACCCACACACAGCCACGTCACACACCCCTGTGATTCCAAGCTCAAGCCTTCTTGCGATAATTACCTTGAGCTCACCCAAGCCAGGCTCGAGTGTCTCTCTTGCTCACACGAGGATACGGATCATGGATGGGCCGAAAAGGGGGCCTTTAACCTATGACCTCCTATTCTATAGGCCTAACCAAAGATATGATAAAGCCATGTGCCTCGACTGATATCACATTAATGAGCCTCATCTACCGCCGCTTTGTGAAAGGATGTACATTAAATGTATCGGTACTCACCCTGGAGCTAAAATACCGAGTTAACCCTATCAAGTCTAATAGGGTCATGATGACTAACCTACTAAGGTGGGTCGCCTCAGGGCTTCCCTCTCTAGAAACAAGCTCATGGCAAAGACTATAAATAGAGACCTCCATGCACAAGGACAGGAGTTGAGATTTTTAGCTAGCTTCCAGCTTCTATGTTTTAGGCTCTTGTTCATAATTCATCATACCTTGTATTTAGATATCACCCACTTTTACTTGTATTAATCTCTTATATTAAAGAACCCCCACAATGTATTGTGTTTGAATAATAATAATAATAATAATAAGAAAAGAGAGAGAAAAAGAAACAAATAAATATAAGTAGAAGGATATGGTATTATATATAGTAATGCTATCCATGACAATTGTCATTAGCGCTTTTATTTTTTTTATTTTTGTGCACCCTTATTTATTATTTATGAGTAAGTCATGATGTTTTTAAAAAATAAAGTTGATCAAAATCTAAATAATGTTCGTTTGTTGAAAATAATGTTTAATATGTTAATTATGTGCATGTAAGTACCACTGTTATGCACAAACGTACCTCTTTTGTAGCATGTGTCATTTTTTATTTATGCAAACCATGTCGGGGGAGAGCAACCATTTTAAGCATAAAAATAGTTCACATTTCCAAGATGACGTTTTTCATAAAAAGCTTTTTATTGCGTCTAATTTATTGAACCCTCCTAGTCTATCTATTTTTTATATATATTTTTTTTATCAATAAATTGATGTTTAATTGTTTATTAATAATAATACATATATATACAATACACATCATTAACGTAACTGATTTTGAAAAAAAAAAATTCCAACAAGTTGTAATTGAGATGAGAAAAATGAACATTTGCTTCTTTGCTTATGAGGAAGAGAAAAAAATCGAAGTTTAAAAGGGCAAACTTAGCATGCGAGGCTTTGAAATCCGGAGTCTTTACTTTGGCAAACGAAGATATAGTTTTCTTATTTCGAATGCCCTCCTATTTTTCTGATTTTGTGGCAAATAAAAAAATAAATTGACACATAATAGGCTCTTCATACGTTACAGTGCAAATAGGACAGGGACACCATTGTTACCCTAAATGTGGACTCAATTTCTCTCCCACACGTTTGACCTTAATTGAGACCACACCCCACTTGATGGGTCTATTATATCTCCCAGTGGCCCCAGAATCAATCAAGAGGAAGCAACCGTCTCCCTCATAATTATTAATGTTTAATAATATCATAAATAAATAAACAAATTGATAGTGAAAAAGTACATATGAAAACAAAACAAGGAATAATAAGAAAAAGACAACAAAAGAGTGATTGTGCATTCTTGAAATTTCATGTCCTGAAAGAAAAAGAATTGAATAAAGCAACCAAAACTTTAAAGGGTACAATTTGGAGCTCCAGCTTTTATCATCCCACCAATATATGATTTTCTCTCACTTTCCCTCATTTTCCCATTATTAAGCCTCAAAATCCTCCAATTCTCCTCTATCCTAGTGGTAGCACTCCCCAACATGGTACCATTTTATCATCACACCAACAAAATAAAACCCTATATGGTACCAACCCTTTGCAGGAATTATATTAATTACAACATTTTTTACAAAAAAGACTGATCTTGCAATCAAACAATGTGGTCATGGAAGGAATGAATCGAATAACAGAGAAAGAGTGACACCCAAGAGAATGTATGAAACCTTGTCCAACGCCACGATTTTGGTGTTGCAGAGGGTGATGAATCTTATTGTTGTGTTGGTGCCACTCGCCTGAGCTGAGTTCACCACCGTCCTCGTTTTATTGCTTACTTTCTTGCTGCATTCACAAATTAAAACACACACACATTGTTTTACAAAATTGTTTTATCGAAACACATTACAAATCTTGAGGGATTTTTGATACTGGGAAAATTCAAACGATGGGGACAAAGAAGGTAGTGTTGAGTACTAACAAACTCTGAATTTTGCTTACCTTCCAGGAAATATACAACTCCCGTGACCTGCAAATATACCCCACAAAAATAAATGAATTAAACAAATAAAGGAAAAAAGAAAGAACAAACATCAGAGGAAACCTGCAGACGCTAGACAGCACAAAATACACAAAAACTGATGGACCCATTTTTGCCACAGCAATAATACACAAACCGCATCATTTTCCTAATCAATCTCCCGAATAGATTCGATTCAATGTGCTCTGTTTCTTCCCCTCGTTAAAGATTCCCACTAAAATTCAGAATTCAAGTACGCGTAAAATCACAAAGTTAAAATGAAGAGCCAACAAACCTACACCCTAAGGGAATAAAATAAATACAACTTTTTACTTAATCGCAATTTATAAACGCGAAGTTTAAACCTCTTCCCACCGGGGCCACTGACATTTGTCGCAGATGGTATAACCTCTCCCCCTCAAAGTGAGGCCAGAGTTCGAGCCCGACAATGCGTGTGAGTATTTTACCAAACCAACAAAAATTATTCATTTGAGTTGGACAATTTCTTTTCTTTTTCTTTTTTTCATGGTCGGACATTTTCCTTTTGTTTCTATCAATTTTTTTTTTCATATATATTTTTCTTTTTTGTTAAGTATGGTAATATTACAAAAATCAAGGCAAGCAAAAACAAACTACAAGGACATTTTTCTTTTTCTTTTTTTTCTTCATATTTTTAGCCCAAAAAAAAAAAAAACATACCAGAATAACTAGAATTGCTATTACCACACTATCCTTCCAGTTTACAGGAGCCAATATGCTTGTGTCGAGTGGGCGCCACAGACCATACCACATCAGAAGACACTATGCCACTAGAGAGTGGTGAACTGTACCCTTTTCTTTAACAACAGGGCCTACCAAGTTAACCCAAAAAAAAAAAAAAAAAAAACAGTGGCCTACCATTACCAATTAAGACTACCATTAAAACCTCAAAGCATTACTACTTTGTGCCAAAAGGTCCACAACACTAATAAAAATGATCACAGTGTCATGTTCCCCTTCCACCCCCAAAACTCAAAATTTATCCCCAAAACAGCCATTTTTAACACTAGAACAACTTAATTCATACTAATTATATTGATTCATTTTGAAACAAATGTGTTATATTGATTGATTTTGAAATAAATGTGCAAAAATTTAGTAATGTAGAACTCACTTGGATCAGTGGTGGTGATTGTGGCCACACCCTTGAAGTCACAAGACCCTGCAGACTTCCCTTCCTTCTGGTAATAACTATCAAAAGCAAAAGAAGCATGGTTCTTCACATTATTAGGCTGGTAACAATCCTCCCCTGGCTGAATCTCTGTACAATTCGCCCGTCCCGGTCCACAAGCCCAATCCAATGCCGCCTGCATCGTCCTCGTATCCATGCCATCCATGGCCACACAGTATGTCTGGTTCGTCGTGTCATTCGCCAGAAAAGTCCCACTTCCAGACACATGAAGCAAGTACACCGGTGTCGAATTGCCATAGAAAAGCCCCCAATTCGCCTCGGACACCGGTGGAGACCTCATGTCCTCATTGAACAACTCGTATAAGTACACGCTGGATGTCATTTCCGGGTGGAGTGGAGTGCCACTTCGATCAAACACATGCTTGATCAAGTTCGAATTGTATGTGTCTGCATTGTCAATGGTTGCATAAGGCTCTTTGGTGTCACCCTTCGAAGGCCAACCCGATTCGGAGACCAGAATGACCACATCAGTGATGTTGAGGTTCTTCATAGAGAAATAAACTGAGTCAAGCATTGCGTCGAGCACATTGGTGTAGTGAAGCAGAGTGTTTGGATCCACCATTTCTTTGGAAGGTGTCAAGGGCTTAAACAGGGAATTATCCAAAGGGACAACCCCTTTGTTCTCCATAAACACATAGTACGGATACAAATTCATCATCAGAGGCGATTGGGTCTTCGACAAGAACTGGAGGATGGGGAGAATAATTGGGACGAGGGTTTGGTTGAAGAACGCCTGAGACGGCGGGAATGGGTCGAGAATAATCGACGCCGCGTGCGGCGTCGAGATCTTGATCTGGGTGTGCAGATTGGCGGCGACGAGAGCGCTGTAGAGGGACTCGATTGCCGGCATCAGCATGGGAGCGGAAGAGGGCACGGTGGTCAGGACCTCGTCGCCAACGGCGACGGCGGTGATGAGCGTTTGAGGATAGTACGCGGCGACGTTGCGGCCGATCCAGGCGGCGGCGGTGGCGTTGGAGGACCCAATTGCGAGGAGCTGGTTGTTGGGTACGCTGATGACGACCCGGATCTTGGTTTTGGCCAGAGCTTTGAGAATGTCTGCGTCCGCATCGTAGAGACGAACATGTGTTATCTTCTGCTTCTGTAGAAACAAAACCAAGTCCCCTGGTGACAGCAAATTGGATATATCTGTACCTATGTTGACTCCAACAAAAGGCTCATCTTCATCTTGTTGCGCTTTAATCTCTGCAAACGATACAAATTCAGTATACAAATCTGCACATATATATATAAATGGATATGTAAAGATTGATTTTTTTCAAATGGGTTTGTGGAAACAATGCTAATTCAGTATACAAATCTATACATATACATATATGTGTGTAAAGATTGACTTTTTAGTATACCAATCTATTAAAGATTGATTTTTTTGAAGTGGGTATGTGGGTTTTTACCTGGTAAGAATGTGGATGTTATAGAAGACAAGGAGATGATAAAGAGGAGAGTGAAGAGGGTGAGCTTAGAGTTCGCCATTAAAGAGAAGCTTGAGCTCTACTTCTTCTCTCATCCTCTGCTTGTGGTTCAGATAAGCTTTGTTGCATTATCTTCGGAAATTATTTGTTTTACTTTATTGGGTTTTTGTTGCTTGATTACAAGATGTACTGTTTGGAAGAAGAAAGAAGAGGACAGTGATAAGAGGAATCAGAGTGTTGTTGCAGACTGCAGAGTTACTAGATCCTATTGCTGACCAGAAGGATATATGATTTTGGGTCTAAATGACTATAATGACCTCCTGGACCGACATTGAAAGATGAAAGCGTCTTTGTGGAGTTTGGAGTTTCTTGCTTTACATGATGGTGGGTGGGAAAGGATTGGGAGGAAATAAGTACGATTTGTGAGGGACTTTTTGGTAGTTTTATGGTGTGGTCGGGAGTAGCATGTAGTTCTTCTGGATACTTGACTTGAGAGGTTCTTGAATTCCAGGCTGGCAGTTGAAGTTAGAGATGAAAATTTGTGTGTAATTAGCCCAACCACCCTTCAAGAAATGTCCTCTAGGTCAGGGTTCGTTTGGATGGTTTAGAGAGTTGCTTAATTAGTTTTGGATGAATATACTATTAAGTTTATTATCAAATATAGTATTTGAATTTCTTGATTTTTTTTCTATTGATAAACTAACAAAATACTAAATATGAATGAATTAATTTTTTTTTTTCGCATAACGAGTTGTTGAGCCGAGCTCGAGCAACCCTTTGCCTGTGACAAGCCGAACCCGAACACTCTGAAGCTCAGTTCAATTTGACTCGTTTATCGCCCTACCTAACTAAGAGTGTTATTATTTTTGTTTGAATGTGTTATTATCACAGTTCGTTTTGTCAATGTGAAGCAACTAGGAAGGAAATGAATTTATTTATTTTTTTATATATAACTTTTTGACAGTTTCATTTGATGAAAAGTGAAAATTTTGGCCAAAGGAAATTCCAGGGTTTGAAAACATTTATTTATTTTTAAAATAAAATGAATATATTAGTTATATAGTATCCATTGAAAGGAGAGTACTAGTATTCTTTTGTACAACTTTCATATTGCCTAATATTATTACATTTTCAGTATACCTTCCACCTTTCTTGTATAAATACACCCAATTTGAAAAACATATGGGCAAAAATGTAAATTCCACCGGCAGTGCCAGCCAAAAGAAGCCTAAAGCTTGAAGCATAGAGATGGTAAAGACCCGGGGCACTGCAATCAGCTGCTCAGTGAGTCACGAGGACACTATTCAAACTTTTGCATCACAAGTGAGCCACCACTGCCACTACAATGGACCCCATAAGTTTCTATCCGTTGGCATATTTTGGACTTAAATTCTGCCCATCACAGAGCATCCTGTCTCCAGTGGCCGTGATCGAGTCTCACTCTCCTTAATTTAGTATGTTTTAAAAAAAATTCTTCCCATCCGACACATTTCTACTAGTGTAAAGTCTAAGTAAGTTTCTAACCAACATCCACACATCTCATTCTATGAATTCATAACATCATCATAATACTAATAATCATTTTTTTTTTTTTTTTTCTCTTTTGTGCGTTTCTAATAATTAGTCTCACTCCTCTTAAAATATCTATAACAATGATTGTCACATGAGTTTAATAATAAAATCGGAATTTTTATCTAGAGTCTTTATTAGATTTGGAGTCGCACAAAGAACCAATGCATTTTTTAAGCATTACTCCAATCATTTTCCATACGAATATGTATGTATTGTATGTATTAAAGATGGTTACTGGGATGGTTCTTGCAGGCTGCTGATTTGGTTCAAATCCTTTTTTTACATAGAAATGATCAGAGAATTTTTAAAGGGTAGCTGCAGAATCTATATATATATATACACATATATATATTTAAAAGTAAAATACTGTTCAACTACCTAAGTGTTTGCTCAACTACAATATATATGTATCTCTCTCTCTATATATATATATATATGAAGCCAAAGTTTGTACAGTGTCATTATAACTTCTTCTCTTTGGTGGGTGTTTTAAATGGATAAAAAATTTCTTCTGCACAATAGTAAATCGGGAATATATTGAAATGCAAGTTTAACGTTACAACACTATTCTAAAGTGCATCAGTAATTTAAGGAGACTGATTTACTGTTGGGTAAGAAAAAAATTTAGTCTGTTTTAAACTGGGATAAGAAATTAGATTAAATTAAAAGGTTTTCCTATTAAAAAAATTAAAAGGACCTGTGATGATTAATTTAAAGTGGTCACAAAATAAAGTATTGGTACAGAAATTTGGTATCATTAATGCCACTGACGGCTTAGATGTATCGGTGAGCAAGTTAAATGCAAATATTCTACTATAATAGCAAAAAGTGCATTCTGCATAATTTTATATGTTTATTAGTATAACCTAAAAGGCTTTAAAAAAACAATAACGAGAAAGAAACAGATGCAACAACTTTCAGAAAAACAGGGTTTGATCATTGCTGAAGGGTCTTGCCTGCCTCCTCCATCTTTTCTCATTTTTTGCAACTCTTCTGTTACTTCTCAACCACCGACGAATCCGGATCCCCTCATTGGTTCTGTGTTGTTGGTACATCGTTAGTGCAAAAGATACAAGAAAAAATTGTTACTGCATAAGTGATGTAACGTATGTATAAACAATGTAATAACGTAAAACACAATACAGGGTGAAATGGCACATGAGAGGATCCGAATTCATCATGAAAATGTCCTACATTTCTTCTCTTTGACTATACTCATAGCTTTGACGTAATCTTGTGGATGAATAATTTGACTAGTAAAACCGCAGGTCGAGATAAATATTAAAGATGCAAGAAACAAAATTTTTTGAAAAGTATGCAAATTACTCGTGGAAATAAACTTTTTAACACAATATTCAAAATTTTAGTGGATGTTCATCACTTTTCCACCATGAGATGTACTTTTTTCATGATTCAATGAACTTTTCCTTTTGTATCCACAATTGATGTAGCAAATATTTGTGGAGTTTCCAAATTGTTCAGATGTAATTTTTACAGGCTAGGTTGGGCCAATATCAAGCCCACTTAGCCAACCCAATCTGTTATGTATGATTAGTCTTGAGGACTGAGCCCAACACTAGTTCCAGTCAATTCTTAGGAACCAACCCAAATTCAAACTTTTGAGTATACAATTAGTTCGAGTTTGATATATCAAAACAACAAACAAAATTTTGTAAAAATTGGTGGGCACTTTGGGAACGGTTGTTTGTATCATATTTGTATGAAAGGAGGGGATTCAGTTGATCATCTATTTTGTTTATTCAGAATTTGCTCAATCTGTGTGGAAGTTGTTAATTAGTTTATTTATTCAAATATAATTGGGATTATATTACTTCTTTTTCTCAATACAAAGCCAAAGTAAAACACTTGAATCACAAATTGGACAGCTATTTTCACTTTGACAGTGTGACATACATGGAGAAATAGAAACCAATTGTTGCCCCAAGGTGAAGGAATGGAAGCCTGCCTCCATTTTTGCCAACTATTTGAAGAGTGTTGTCACGTCCCGTCGTGGAATGTTATGTCATGCAATTGCCACATAGAAATAATAGGATGATGACATGAAATTTTTTTAACATGATCCTGACCAATCACAATTTGACACACAAGTAAAAATTTGAATAAAGTAAACACATTTATTTTTGTGTCGACTTGTAATTAGCCGGAATCATGTAATCTCGGATCATATAATAATTTCACGACGGAATAATTTGCATGACCAGAACATTCTAAACTTCTTACCCTTGTGTGAAGTTATCTAGTTATATACAAAGCATAAAACTTTCTAAAATAATATAATCATTTTAGAGAGATGTCTTGGATATTCTTTGGATCATCCTGCTACTCAATTCTAAATTACTATACATTTCCCATCATTCTAAACTTTCACCTATAGAAAGGGCAACCAAGCAACCAAATACTGATGACTTTGATGATAACTTTTTTACTCCATACTGGTAATTACGTTTTACTGCATTGCATTTGGATTTGAACAATTTTGAGTGTGATAAAGAAATTTTTTACTCTATAGTGGGAATTATGTTTTTACTGCATTCCATTTGGATTTGAACAAAATGTACCGGTTATTTAGAAATAACACCATTGCCTTTGGATTTGAAAATTAAGATGACTTAAATTGATGTTTCAGTATTATTGTTTTCATCAATAATTAAAATTATGTTAATTTTGTTGTGAATAATCTTACTTATTTTTTATTTTTTTTTTGGTGTCTGTCATAACTAAAATTGTCACTAAAAAACTAAAATTGTTTTGAATTATTTTAATTAAAATTGTTTTATCACTAGAATTATGTTGAATTATTAGGTTAATTTTGTTGAAAATTTATTTTAAATGAGACATTTGTATTTAGTTTTGTTTGATATTCTAGTGAAAGAAGTAAGGCATTCTAAATTACGTGTCTCAATTATCCAACACCCAAGGAAGATGGAGAAAGGAATGGTATCAAAGCCCCAAAAAACAAGGGGAAAAGTGGAAGAAATTATGTGACAACTTTAATTTCACATAACCGCAACAACTTTTTATTATTTCACACAAGCATTACATCCAAGAAAACATCTGTTTTCTGCCTTACAAAATCTATATAAAAGCCAAAAACTGCCCCCAGAGGGAACTCTAATCAATTGAAAGATAAAACGCAATATGTCAACAATATACCAGAAAACCCAAGGTTCAGTACTGTTTGTCCAGCCCAGAACAGAAAGAAGCAATAAAATTTGGGAGACTCAAGGCGCACTCCTCTAATGTTTGTTTTCCAATGTAGAAAATCAATGAGAACCTTGGATATCCACGGATGAGTTGAACTAGGGTTGCATAAACAATTATGTGAATTTTATTCTTATCTGAGGGCATTCACGAAAGCCATCAATGAATCGACATCTCTCTTCTCCGATGGGTACTTAATGGGTTGCGAAGAGTGTTTAGGGAAGAAAAGTATCGTGGGGAAACTTCCCAGCTGCAATTCTTTTTGTGCAAATGCCTTCTGCTCACCATCTGCCCTGAATTTTCCGACCTTCACACCACTCCCTGCCAATTTCTCTGCCAATTCAACATAAGATCCTTCCATGGCCTGCTCATAATTTAAACAGAAATTCGTTAGATCCAAATTTTACATGGGGTAACTGATTACTAAAACAATTTTGTTCAAAACATTATTTACCTGGCAAAATTGGCACCAAGGTGCATAGAGGACGACAAGCCAAGGCTCTTTCCTGTCCTCCAGCTTCACCAAATTCTCCATCCCTGTCCTATTCAAGGTTACAACATTTTGGGTGTCAAAAAGATCAGCAATTGGGGCAGTTCCATTTGTATTGGCAGCCCCGTTGCCATTGGCTTGGCCTACTTTTCCTTCGATATTTCCTTTGTGGAGGCCACACTCCTTGGCCTTGGCATCCTCCCACCACCACCGTCCCTCTCTCTCATGTTGTCCTGGTAGGACTGGCCTTGTGCATGGCTCACACCCAATTGAGACATATCCTTGCAAATGCAATGAGTTAACAGGCACGTTCATTGTCCGGAGGAAGTTCCAGATGTCAGCGCCATCCACGTCTGCAACTGGGTTCCACTTTACCAGGCTACCAGCCCCACCGTCCAGTCCCTCAAAAGAAGGGTCCACCTGTACTACGGGAATTTCAGACCTAGTACCCGGGGACTGATCTTTCCTTTGCCCGGTGATCCATGCACGTAAGCCCTTGAGAGCCCTCCTAAGGGGTCTCACCTTCCTCACACGGCAGCATTCCTGGTGGCCATCCTCGTAGAAGGAGAATAATCCCTTGCTCCTTACTAAGGCTTGTACTTCGACAGCATCTGGAAACATGTATTCAATGTGAATACCATAATGTTTCTCAACTGTGTCAAATAATTTATATGTTTCGGGGTTCAGCCTCCCAGTGTCCAGGCTGAATACCCTAAATGGTCGACCGGTTAGATGTGCATACTCGATCAAGGCAACATCTTCAGCACCACTGCAAAAGATGCATATATTTTCAGAAACGAGAACCAAACAGAGGGTTGTTTCTTAACCTCACGAGCATTATGTAACAAAGTAAACCAAAAACAGACAACAAATTGAATAATGCTCAATGTTTCATATATGAAATGAACATGTGTGAGAAGTGAGATCAACTGGCTGGAAGCCAAAAATTCAGCTTATAGAGTACCTACTCAGATATTCTACTCAGATACTCCGAAAAAATAAAGAGATGAACACAAATTTCATTTGAGAAAGAAAAGTAACAAGCAGAAGAAATATTCAGAGCTCGCAAATAGAAGAAATTGGTTCAACTTTGACAGTAACTCTCCCAGCATAGACTATTGGATGATTCATGAGTTCCTTTAGTCTTAAACTGAATTATAACGAAAAAGAAAATAACAATTTCATTCAAAATTAGCATCAGCTAAAATGAATGAGGTTAGTTATATATTAGACCATCCTACATAAACATGACATAACAACAAAACAATAACTAGCCCTTACCATCAATAAAAATTTGTTTTGTAATATTAGTGTTGATCAATCCCTAATCTCTGTTTCCAATATGTTTAATATCCTTTCAATTAATTTGAAAGATAGTCTAATTAAAAAATCACTTCGCTTCCGAATACCTACAATTACTAGCAGCAAACAGATAGTCCAACGAGTGAAGGTATGACATAGGTTTTCATGACTTTTCCATTAAAGAAAGGTAAATTATTAAATATATCATATTCTCGAATATTCTCAATACATTTGAAGGTAACAGAATATACAAATTAGATCCTTAGAACAAAGAATATTCAGTAAGCCAGTGACTTATTCATAATTTCATCTAACAACCAGCGCAAAACAAAATGTGGTAATTTAATTCATCAAAGAACTACTGTAAAGCATACATTTAATTCATCAAAAGTATACCTGAAAGCAATTGCTATGTCATTTCCGAATTTCTCAAGGGCTTTGTCAATAATTTCAAGAGGGGAAGCCTTTTCAAGGACCTTAGCCAGTTGCTCATAATCCTCCACCTCTACTCTCTCTACCACCTCTGCAAATACACCACAAGAAAAGGTCCAAACCCGTCATTTCACATCTTTCCAACTCTATATCTCTCTCCATACATACACACACACACACACACACACATAAATGAGTAATACTACAATGCCGAATCGGTTTTTTTTTTTTTTTTTTTTTGGTGACTCCAATAAACAGGAGTCTTTAAGATAGAGCATTGCCATAACAGTCGGTTATAAAAACCTATCAAAAAAAATTATCTTTTATCATATATAAATATTACTATTTAATATACACACATACATGTTATATTATATTTATATTTAAAGAGATATAATCTAAGTAAAATAAGCTTACCAGGAGAAGCAATGGTGGCTGCGAGAGATACAATGGAATCGTTCCGTTTCGACTCGGCATTGAGTGGCTTCACGGAGGATTTCCTCCGAGAATAACTCACAGCCGTCGATTGAAAATGAGGCCGATCCAACGGCTGAAAAGAACCGAACTGTAGAGCTGAAAACAGAGAAGAAAAAGAAAAACCCAAAATTCAACCATATTAGACTCTCAAACCACAAAAAAATCAAAACATGAAAATCAAGATAACAAATAACAAATCCAATTCAAATAATCAACAATAATGTGTATTAATTATCAAATTAAGTACCTTTGGGCGGTTGTTCATGGAAATGACTGGACCGGGAATAGATGGAACCAGAGATTGCTGCGGAAGAAGAAGAAGAAGCTACAGAGAATGCCATTGATTGATGAATCTCTCTACTTTCTCTCTCTACTTTCTCTCTCTATAATTAGTTTCCGTGAGCTTTTGTGTTTGCGTTTGTTGTTAATTTGAGTGTTTTAAACAGAGAAGAGAACGGAAGGGGGTTAAATACTGGCCCGAGAGAGGGCGGCCGTTTAGGTTCATTGAACCTGGACTCTTTTACGTCCGTAGCCCACCCTCATGTGTTGCGGTGACGTGGCGAGAGCCCATTGGCTGTAGCTCGGCGTCGTCGCTCATCTCTTTCGTCATGGCGAGCCGAAGAAAAAGAAAGACCGGTTTGACTGGACTTTTTAGTAATTTTTTTAATTTTTGTGAACTTTCTTTCGACTTTCCGGGAATTTCAATGGAACTTCTTATCATTTAAAAAAAGCAACTACTTAATTTAGGGACCTTCCTTTCGGTTAGTCGAATGTAGACTCCATTAGATTCAATGAATAAAGAAACAAGATACGAGGAAAAACAATATATTTTAAACAGAAAAACAATAAAGAAACAAGATCCTAAGAAAAACAATATTATTATTCAAATTGTTCATAGTTTAATAATTATTATTATTATTATTGTCACGATAATGAACTCTCACAAAATAGTCTTAGAAAAAAACCAAATCTATCTTTCATTTCAATCTTGGCGTAATAATCACTCTTATTTAAATTACTAGAATTTTGTGGAAAGATAAAACTTAATTTTTTTTTTACAAAAAAAAAAATAAAAAAAAATGAAGAAGAAGAAAAAGAAAAAGAAATTAACAACTGCACATCAAGGATATAATTTGGGTAGGTCAATCAGAATTTAATTCGGACTCAATTTGATAATTTTTGAGAAATTGAGCAACCATTTTTACAATTAGTAAAAAGTCAGTTCTAGTAGACTAGGATTAAAAAATCTCAGCACAATCTTAACTTGAATTTGCTGCAGTTGGGTTGTCAACAACTTTATCATCATTTTTATTTATTCATAATTTTAAATATCATATATATTTACAATCAAGATTTCCTTCTTTTTTTTCTTTTTTTGATTCTTTATTTATGTATATTAGCAAAAAGCATGTGTGTTATCATATTTATCTTTGTATCAAATTTCAATTGGTTACTCTTTGGAAGAGAAATTAGAGATATGAATGAATATATATATAACAAATAACAAAGGGTTAAAAATTGTTTAAACTTTGCCCTCTAGTTATTCCTCAAATTAGTTAAATCAATTTTTTAAATAAATATTGTTCAATATTACTACTCAAAATTTGAATTAAAAAATATTTAAAAAAATAAAAATACACAATCTTTGTAATATAACAAATAATCATTATAAAAATGTTAGTTCTTTAAATTCACTTGAGCATTAATTTCATAAATATATCTTTCATCACAATAACTATCAAAGCAAAGCATCGTACTAAAAAATAAAAGATATGATTACTAATTCATGAAATGTCTATAAAGTTCACATGCATCATGAAATAACTCAAAAAATAAAAATAGAAAAATGTACAATTAGCATTACCTTTATTTCGTTATGACAATACCTCCCATAAAATATTTCATTACAATAGGGCACTCTAATCTTGATGTAATGTGATTATGTAAGCTCCTGAAAAATTAATAAAGAAAGAAAAACACAAAACAAATTTTTCATTTTTGTTTGTGTCTTCTAAGACTTAAATCAAACACCCATATTTGATGATACAACTAAACCATCAAGATAGATAGGATTAAAAGTACCAATCGTGAAAATTAGTGTTTGTATTAGAAAAAATTAGGGAACCATTTTTCTTTTTATCTTTTTTTCCTTTCTTCTCTCTCTTGTTGAGCAAAGGAGTGAGATGATATATTATCTTCATCTAAATTTGCAACCACCAAAACAATTTAATAAATAATACTCAAAAAAAAATTGGGTGAATAAAAATTATTGTATCAAAATAGAAGGAAAAAAACTAACCATTTCAAGCTTTTTGCAAGAGGTTCTCATAATTTTTGTATTGCTTCAATCTTGTCTCATGATTTTTTTTGTCTCTTGCAACGAAACTGCACCACTTACTAAAAAGATTAATTTTTTTGATAAATCGGAGAATTAATAAATAAATAAATAAAGAGAAAGAAGAAAAGAAAAAAAAAAAAAAAAAGAGACAACATTTGTATCCAAGAGAATCAAAATTAAATATAAAATTCAAGGAAATAACTCAAAAAAATAAAAATAGAAAAATGTACAATTAGCATTAAGATTGCATGAGTTAGAAATCTTCATCTAAATTTGCAACCACCACCAAACGAAACAATTTAATACAATGATACTCAATTTTTTTTTTTTTTTGGGGTAAAAAAAAAATTATTGTATCAAAATAGAAGTAAAGGAAACTAAACTTTTCCAACTCTTTGCAAGAGGTTCTTGTAATTTTTGTATTGCTTCAATCTTGTCTCATGTTATTTTTATCTCTTGCAATGAAACTGCACCACATTTTACTAAAAAAATTAATTTTTTGATAAATCCGTGAATTAACACCAAAAAAGAGAGAGAGAAAAAAAAAAAAAAAAGACAACATTTGCTTCCAAGAGAATCCAAATTAAATATAAGATCCAAGGAAACAAACCATGAATGACAACGCGAAAGTTTGCAATGAGATTGCATGAGTTAAAAAGGAAAATACAATCATAAAATTAATTAAATTTTCAAGTATAACGGGAATTTGGATAGTGAAGCAACAATTAGTACAATGATTAAAATGGTCAATCGGTGTATCATCTTTAAAGAATGAATAAAAACTGAAATTATTCTATATTAAATACTATTTTTCTAATTTCATATATTTTTTTATTTAAAAAAAAAAAATTGAAATCACAAAAGACTAAATAAAATACGTTAGAAAAAACAAGAAAACAAAATACCAAAAAAAAGTTGAATTTGGTTTGGTCCATCCATTAACGGATATATAATGTATAGATCAAGCAACCTTCTTATTGGGAGATTTGATTTAATTTTATCATAAATGGTGACTTGTATTATCTTTAAAGAATGAACAAAAATTGAAACTTTAAAGAATAAGTAAAAATTTAAATTGAAAAGTGGTCCTTCAACTTCTATATTAAATACTATTCTCTTTCAATTTCATATTTAAAGTGAATTTAAATTCTAAATTAAATAGTCACTTTCAATATCATATTTTTTATTTTTTAAAACATAAAAAAAAAAGGTTAAGTAATTCCTAACACTTTTAGAATAGTATATAGATATAGATATAAATATAGATTTATTCTTTTGACAATTAATTTCTTAATAATTTGTTTATATATATATATATATATATATATATATATATATATATTTACATTCATATTGCAAAAATGTTATCATCATTATTCTCATCTTTGTCATCATCATTATTATCATTTATTGTATTTGATATGGAAATCATTTCTACCAAGATTTCTATACTAAAATATCAACTCGAAACGGGGTTGAAGACGAAATCATATTAAATTAAGTCTAAATTGACGCCTTAACCCATTTAAGTTGCACCCTACCACACACTTCTTCATTTTCATAATATATATATATATATTTACAAATTTTATTCCCTTTCTTGGCTCAAATCATCAAACACTTCTAGCATGGTCCGTCCACACATATGTGGGATCACAAAAAAATAAAAAATCTTATATATATCTCTATTTTCGGTAGTGGTGGTGAATATACAAACTCCTCGAGTGGTCCAACTAAATTAATAACGCTTTGTTACAGTAGTAATAAATTTCGGGGAAAAAAAAAGGAATAAACAATATATTCCTTTTTTGACAAACATGAAAATGACTTTAAAAAATAAATAAAAATTGTTATAGTAATAATTAGGGATAGCAAATTCGCCATCCCCACTTATAACGGGGATGGGGATCCTTTTAGCTAAATCAGGATGGAAATAAGGGCAAATTATGAATCCCCGCCGTGGGCGGGGGCGGAGATAAGGTAAACCCGCCCCGCCCCAATTAAATGTGAAGTTACTAATATACTCTTACATATAATAATTTATTACTAAATTAGATTTATTATATATATGAAAATAAGAAAAAATATGTTTTTTTTTAATAAAAAAAATTGTGAGGTAGGGGCCGGGGGCGGGGCAGGGACGGGGATAAGGTGTCGAAGGCGGGGGCGAGTATGGGGATTCTGGCAAAATTTTAAGCGGGGATAAGGGTGGAATTGGAGAATGAAAAATGCATCGGGAATAGGGATGGAAAATGGAATCCCCGCCACACCCCGCCCGTTGCTATCCCTAGTAGTAATAAATATCGGGAAAAAAAAAAAAAAAAAAAAAAAGGAATAAACAACATATTCCTTTTTTGGCAAACATGAAAAATGACTTTTAAAAATAAATAAAAATAAAAGAATAAACCACATATTCCTTTTTTGGCAAAAATGAAAACGACTTGGTACAAATTGTGACAACCACACGCGCATAAAAATCCTTATCTTTTTTTCTTATATAATAATGTCAATTAAGGTGTGTCCTATTATTTCAAATTGAGACAAATCTTTAATATATTTGCTTTAGTTCAACAAGAGTGGATTTTATTTTAGATTTTGAAGAAGAAAATGTTTTTTAGAACCAACTTGATGACCAGAGTCATAAGCACATGTTTTGAAAAATAAAAAATAAAAAATTGAATTTTTTAAAAATGGGCAGCTTGTTAATAGTATGGTGATAAAGACTCTGATGTAGTCATTAATGACATGCGGCAATGAAACAAAATGTATTTATCGCTGTGTGGAATCCACATACCTTGAACATCAAATATAGAAATATGGTAAAATATGTGGAGCTGCTGTAGTCAATATAATGCGTTAGAAAGTGATACAGGTCACAGAAGTGGACGATTATTGTATCTATTAATTTCTTTGGTAATGGACACCCCACCATGGAAATTAAAATCTTGACTCTTGACTCTTGACTCTTGAGGTTCACAAGAGTTGATAATTTCTTTTATATATATATATATTGAAAAAAATTATTTTATATATACACACTGGTTTTAATCATATAAATTTCTTAATAGCAGCAAGATGAACATTGTGTGCAATGACCTCGTGCAAATATA